TCATATTTAAGCTTTCCGGTTACGCGCCCGGACTATGCACGCAAATCGAGGCGAGTAAAAGCGAGGTTTTCAAGGCCTCGGAAGTACCAAAATAAAAGAGAAAACAGGTGATGACCCTTTGGGTCGTCACTTTCTCCACCTCTAAAACAACCGTTCGTCCTCGAACGGCCAAAAGAAAGAAGTACCTGAGTCGGGAAATAGATGGGGATAACGGCTTCGCATATCAGACTCGGACTCCCAGGTTGATGCCTCAGGAGGCTGACCTCTCGACTGAACTCGCACTGAAGAAAAACTCTCCGACCTCAACTGTCGAACCTGCCGGTCTAGAATAGCTACCGGCTCCTCCTCATAAGACAGATCCTTGTCCAACTGGACAATGCCGAAATCTAACACGTGAGCTGGATCGCCGTGATACCTTCGAATCATGGACACATGAAACACTGGATGCACGGCTGACATGCTAGGCGGCAAGGCAAGTGTATAAGCCACCTCTCCCACACGATCGAGAATCTCAAATGGACCAATGAACCTAGGGCTAAGCTTGCCCTTCTTCCCAAATCTCATCACGCCCTTCATAGGCGACACTCGGAGCAAGACCTGCTCACCAACCATGAAAGCTACATCCCGGATCTTACGATCTGCATAACTCTTTTGCCGCGACTGAGCCGAACGAAGCCTATCCTGAATGATCTTGACCTTATCCAAGGCCTCCTGAACTAAATCTGTACCCAATAACCGAGCCTCTCCCGGCTCAAACCATCCAACTGGAGACCGACATCGCCTACCATACAATGCCTCATATGGGGCCATCTGAATGCTGGACTAGTAGCTGTTGTTGTAGGCGAACTCTGCTAAAGGCAAGAACTGATCCCGCGAACCTCCAAAGTCGATAACACAAGCCCGGAGCATATCCTCCAAAATCTGAATAGTCCGCTCGGACTGACCGTCCGTCTGAGGATGGAACGCTGTGCTCAACTCAACCCGTTTGCCCAACTCTCGCTGAACTGCACCCCAGAAACGCGAGGTAAACTGCGTACCCCGGTCCAAAATGATATATACCGGCACACCATGAAGGCGAACAATCTCCCGAATATAAATCTCAGCTAACCTCTCGGATGAATAGGAGACTGCCACAGGAATGAAATGTGCTGACTTGGTCAGCCTATCAAAAATAACCCATATCGCATCGAACTTCTTCCGAGTCAACGGAAGTCCGGTAACGAAATCCATGGTGATCCTCTCCACTTCCACTCGGGAAGCTCAATCCTCTGAAACAAACCATCAGGCCTCTGATGCTCATGCTTAACCTGCTGACAGTTCAAACATCGAGCCACATATGCAACAATATCTTTCTTCATCCTGCGCCACCAATAATGCTGCCGCAAGTCCTGATACATCTTCGCGGCGCCCGAGTGAATAGAATACCGAGAACTATGGGCCTCCGCTAAGATCAACTCTCGAATCCCATCGACATTGGGCACACAAACTCGCCCCTGCAATCTCAAAACACCATCATTATCTAAGGTCACCTTCGTGGCACCTTCACGCTGCACCGTGTCTCTCAGGACACACAAATGGGGATCATCAAACTGCCGATCACGGATACGCTCCAATAATGAGGAACGAGCGACCGTGCAAGCTAACACTCTGCTAGGCTCAGAAATATCCAATCTCACAAATCGATTGGCCAAGGCCTGAATATCCAAAGTAAGCGGTCTCGGGCTGATCGGAATATAAGCTAGACTACCCATGCCGGCGGACTTCCTACTCAATGCATCGGCCACCATATTGGCTCTCCCCGGGTGATACAAAATAGTAACATCATAATCTTTCAATAACTCCAACCACCTCCTCTGCCTCAAGTTCAACTCCTTCTGCTTGAACAAGTACTGAAGACTCTTGTGATCAGTGTACACCTCACACGTCACACCATACAGATAATGCCTCCAAATCTTCAAAGCATGAACAATGGATGCCAACTCTAGATCATGAACCGGATAATTCTTCTCGTGGATCTTCAACTGCCTCGAAGCATAGGCTATGACTCTGCCATCCTGCATCAATACTGCACCAAGCCCAATACGGGAAGCATCACAATAGACTGTATAAGGCCCTGAACCTGTGGGCAAAACCAAACCGGTGCCGTAGTCAGAGCTGTCTTTAGCTTCTGAAAGCTCGCCTCACACTCATCCGACCATCTGAAGTGGGCACCCTTCTGGGTCAATCTGGTCATCGAGGCTGCAATAGATGAAAACCCCTCCACGAACCGATGATAGTAGCCTGCTAACCCCAAGAATCTCCGAATCTCTGAAGTTGATGCTGGTCGAGGCCAGTTCTTGACTGCCTCAATCTTCTTTGGGTCCACCTGAATACCCTCTGCTGATACAACGTGACCTAGAAATGCTACTGAACTCAGCCAGAACTCACACTTGGAGAACTTGGCATATAACTGACTATCCTTCAGAGTCTGAAGAACCACTCTGAGGAACTTGTCACGACCCGGATTTTCCCACCCTCGGGAGCCGTGATGGCGCCTACTAATAGGAGATAGGCAAGCCAACTTAATTTACTTTTTTAGCAATTATCATCCATTTAATGAGAATAAAACATAACATGATAAAGCGGAAGTCTCAAATATAATTAACTGAAAGAAATGCGGAAGTTTAACAAAATCCTTTACCCAAGACTGGTGTCACAATACTCACGAACGTCTAGAGAATACTAAATACAAGGTGTGAATTAAACATAAAACTGTCTGTTTCGGTACAAATGATAACAAACTGAATAAAACAGAAAGGGACTCCGGGCCTGCGGACGTTAGCAAGGCTACCTCGAAAGTCCCTAGAGCGAAAGCTCGCTCCCAAAATGCTACTGCTACTCAAATGTTGTTCTAACACCTGGATCTGTGCAAAAAGATGCACAGAGTGTAGCATCAGCACAACCGACCCCATGTGCTGGTAAGTGCCTGGCCTAACCTCGGCGAAGTAGTGACGAGGCTAGGCCAGACTACCAAACAATGCCTGTGCAGATATATATACAAGTACAACGAAATAATAGCAGAAAGTAAACAATTAGAGCTGAGAGGGGGAAACATGCTTATGGGGTAGCAGATAAATCAGAATATCAGGAATAACAAAAGAAGAACTACATCTGATTTCTTCTAACACAGAATAAGGGAAAACAAACCACTTTCACTTGTTTCAATTTCCTCTCGTTGCAGGCGTGCAACACGATCTGATTTCATATTATATCACGTGGTAGGCGTACCACTCGATCCCATTTCATAATATCACGTGGTAGGCATACCACTCGATCCCATTTCATAATATCACGTGGTAGGCGTACCACTCGATCCCATTTCATAATATCTCGTGGTCGGCGTGCCACGCGATCCCATTTCTTTCAACACAACACACAATATAATCCCGGCAAGGGAGAAAGATATTATAATAAACTATCCCGACAAGGGAACAATATAATATAATAAACTATCCCGGCAAGGGAACAAGATAATATAATAAACTATACCGGCAAGGGAGATCCAGCTATAACCAAACTTATTCGATTTCTACTTAACACAATTAAATCAATACTCCGTCTCAACAGTTACTGGCTCAGTGTTAAAGATTTCCAACCAAGTCCTCATAGGCAACAATTAAGAATTCGATAATTTAGCAATTTAGGACTCACGGTCATGCTCGACACCAGTGTATAGATACTCGTCACCATGCCTATACACCGTACTCGACAAATGGCAATTAGCAAATAAGACTCTACTCCTATTCCCTCAAGTCAAAGTTAGACCAAACACTTAACTCAAATGCTCCAAACTCAACTCAAGCCTCTAGTATAGCTTTACCCTTCGAATTCACCGCCAACCGCTCGAATCTAGTCACAAATTACTTGAATGTATCAACAAATGCTAATCGAATCAATTTGAATGCATGAAAAATGAATTTCCCAAAGTTTTACTCAAAAATTTCCAAAACGCCCCCGGGCCCACGTGGTCAAAACCCGAGGTTCGAACCAAAACCCGGCTACCCATTCCCCCACGAGTTCATATCTATGATTAGTTTTGAAATCGGACCTCAAATTGAGGCCCAACTCCCCAATTTGAAGAAAACCTAGGTTCTACCCAAAATCCCCATTTTCACCCATGGAAATCCTTGATTTTAAGATGAAAACATGTTTAATGATATAAAGGATTGAAGAAATTAAGTAAAAGTTGACTTACAAATGATTTGGAGAAGATAGATTTTTTGAAAAATCGCCTATGGAGTTTGTGTTTTGAAAGAATGAAGAAAAGGGGTTAAAAATTCGTCTAAGTATGAAAAATTGCAGGCCTCAGATATGGAAAATGCGAACCCAGCAGGTCTGGGAATTGCGAGATTTCAGTTCGCATTTGCGAACTTGAAGAAGAGTGGAAGGTTCGCATTTGCGATAGAACTCTTCCGACTGATTTAGAGTAGTCGGAAAAAGATTGGTCGGAAAATATTTTCCGACTACTGTAGTCCGAAATTTCCGACTACAGTAGTCGGAAAATATTTTCCACCAAAAATTAAAAAAGCAGCTATTTTCCGACTACCGACTGAAGTAGTCGGAAAATAAGAAAAAATATTATTTATTTTAAAATATTTCCGACTACTGTAGTGGGGATATTATACAAATAATAATTATTTATTTGTTATTTTATTGTATTTTCCGACTACAGTAGTCGGAATCTATATTATTCTGGCCTCATTTCCGACTATTGTAGTCGGAAAATCATTATGCTGGGCACACTTTTCGACTACAGTAGTCGAAAAACTTGGTTGAAATTTGACAGCATGCTGCCATTTTATTAGCACATCACCTGTCAAATGCAAAATATTATGAACAACCAATTCCAACTAAACAACTAACTCAACAAATCAATTTCAACTACACAATCAATTCCAACGAAACAATCTAATAATCAAACCAACTAATTCCAACATCAACAAACAAACATTCAAATCCCATAATGTCAAACCAAAACATTACTTAACGTCGAAATATTTAATATAAAGTCTGAGTAGCTAATACATATCGACACTAATATAATAAGGTCTAAACATATATATACCACATCATTCAAATCTACCATAAAGTCTAAATATAAAATTTAAACATCCAAGAACAGTAATCAACCTTAAATCACTACTACACATCAGAATCAGACTCTTCATCATCATAAAAGTGGGGCATGTATTTTTTCATGTATTTATCCATTCTAGCAATGTGAGCTTCGGTCGTCTCACATCGTTTCGACAACAACTCAATAATTCTTTTGCATTGCTCCCATTTCCTCCTGATTAGGAGAATCCGAAACTAATGGCGATGGACGAAAAGAGGAAGGCCGTTGTACTCCAAGCCCGTAAACTCTTCCTTTGGATACACCACTTGCTACATCCGTCTATATTGAAGTCATAACATCGGGTGACGGTTGGATTGGGGTACCATCATCAGAAGCAGGCTGCATCTGACACCATTCATCTAAGCTTCAAAATCCATCCTGAAATAAAAGTGATAAGGATTATATAAATAAATAATTTTGTCACTGAAGATTTAAAAGGCGAGAATAGAAGGCTAAATAAAGAACTGCAAGAACTGAAATCTCTGAAAATGGCAGCACCCTTTCGTGTTCAATTATCGGCTGCCACCCTTAGCATGTGCCCGTCGTGCGAGAGAACCTATGGCGGCGGCGGCGGCGACAACTCAGCCACCAAAATCTCTTTCTCAATCGGAGATCAAAAGCCTAACTTTTATGGTTCCTTCGCAAATTCATCTGCAGCTTTGCTAAGCTAACTTTTATGGTTACTTATATTAAATCCAATATAAGTAAAGTGAGGAACATATATTTCTTTAGTTACGTCGTCTACGTACCAAGTATTTTGAATTAATCTTTTTAGAGACTTTGCACATATGTATATTCTTTAAATGTAGTTATGTGGAAATAAAAGTTCCATTTCTATATATAATAATTACTTAAGACTCTATTAGAGCTACTACTTTAATTTTGACTTTTTATAATATAAATTTAATAAGAATGATCAGTAATTTAGTGATCAATTAATGGTTCTTTTAAAAACCAGTTTCTTGATTCATACAGGAGAAACCATTTTGGAAGATGGACACAAAAGAGAAAATTGAAGCATGTGATAAAATTAAGAACGAAGGAAATGTACTATTCAAAGATGGCAAGTTTCAATGTGCCTCGAGGAAGTATGAGGACAAAATTAGATCTACTCCCGAAGATAAGGGACAATTTTGGCTAAAAACTCTGAAAATAGTCTTAAGGTTATGATCTTACATATTGTTCCGATGCACGTGTCTCAACCCATCCTTCCCTTGAACCATCTTTCTTCTTTTTCTTATGTCTCCGCAAAGACCTCAGCATCAGACACTGGTCCCCCTTTTAACTTTTCCTGCAAATAAAATGTAATTTTTCTAGTAATGTCCAAATAAATGCCACATCGATAACATTGTGTCTCAAGTGAAGAGTGCATAATGCGACAAGAGTCAAGAGAAAGTGTATATACATAAGGATTAACTAGTAGTAACTATTAGGAGTATAACTTATCTGATAATTTAAGGAGTATAACTTATCAGAATCTTGAAAATATAGAAAAGTCCAACTGAGAATTTATTGTAGTCCAATATATGAAAAAGTTAACACTTCTTATAAGCAGCCCAGAACTGATTAGTGATATCAACATGGGACTCTTATTAACAATACAAAAAGGAAGCTTTGCATACTATAGGTAACTCACGAGCATGCTAAATTTCATTATTCATCGTGTAAACATTACATTCTAGTTAAGAGAGAGACCAACATTTCTACGAAGAGTCTAAGAGAGTTAAACTAGATTCACTCTTCTTCGTGAATCCAAGGGGCAAATGCATTAAAACCTTCTTATTCAATAACTAGCGATATTTTGGTGCTTCCTAAAAGAATATGAGCAAATGTCTGCTGCTAGTTATTGTTGCAAAACAACAAAGAGCTGCAACAGAATGAAAAGTACTGTGCCAAGAGCATGTTAAAAGTCTCAGGTCGTGAAATTATTACATCAAAACGTAATGTTTTATTTAAAAGATAAAAGATGAAAACAAATTCCGACAAACTTTTTCTCCTTAAGATCACTAAGCATGCATTCTGGTCATTCAATAACTATCCCACTTCACAAGTAACCATCCGCAGCTCCACAATATTGGACTGGACTTCAGGGATGACTGGCCAAAGCATTTCGGGACAGATGGGGAATCAACTTGCACTCCCCACCTCACCCCCTTTTACATTTTCTTTTATTTGCGAAGTACATTCTAGAGCAAGCTGTGCTTAACTCACGAGCATGAAATTTCAAGTTTTATAACTCTGAACACTTTCTACATTACCAGCCTTTAGCTTATTGGAAAAATTTCTCACAAAGAAACACTATGTGAAACCAAATTAACGTATAAGAAGGGTCTAAATCAATCTTTATCTGTCATATTGATACTGATCCATTTGAGAACATCATTTATTTGCACACCAGAAGTTTATTTCTTCTTCCTCACTGACCACGTTAGTCCATTAAAACTCTTCTTCCTCAATACACCGATATAAAGTTCAAACTTGTTACGTTACTCGTGTCAAAGACATTTAGTATACCAATTTAATTTATCAAAAGTTTCCCATCCCTTCTCTCATCCAAAGTGAATGTGTAACTGGCCTTGGGCTTCTGAATCTTGTTATTCAGGTATGTAAGGTACAACTCACTTCGCCTACAATATTCTTTCAAGTCCATCCTGGCCTTCAAGTTATCTTTTGTCTTGTTATTGACATCCATCACAGTATTAAACAAGTTATCAAAAAAGTTCTTCTCAATATGCATGACGTCAAGATTATGCCTTAGAAGATTATGCTTCCAATAAGGTAACTCCCAAAATATGCTCTGTTTAGTCCAGTTATGGGTAACACCATAACCAGGTATCTTATTAGGCAATGGAGACTCTGTTACCTTAGGTAGATCCCTAACTCTATTCCAAATTTCTTCTGGCGACAAGACTGAAGGTGGCTCTTCATAATCAGTTTGATTCTTCATAAATGCACTAGTGTTTCTCCTAAATTCATGATCCATTGGCAAGAAACGACGGTGACAGTCAAACCATGTGTTCTTACCTCCATGTTTCAAAGTGAACGCTTTTGTGTCTTCCATGCAACTCGGGCAGGCTAACTTTCCAGCAGTAGACCACTCGGATAGCATTCCATAAGCAGGAAAATCATTTATAGTCCACATTAAAGCGGCACGCAATCTGAAGTTCTGTTTAGTTGATATATCATAGGTTTCCACACCTTGATGCCACAATAACTTTAACTCATCAATCAATGGCTGCATGTATACATCAATCAAACTTTTTGGATTGCGTGGACCTGGAATAATACAAGTTAGGAACAAATATGGACTTGTCATACAAAACTCTGGAGGAAGATTATACGGCGTAACAAACACTGGCCAACATGAATATGGTACGGCAGAGACTGCAAATGGAGTGAATCCATCAGCACATAATCCCAACCTAATATTTCTTGGTTCACTTGCAAAGTCCGGGAACACCCTATCAAAATGCTTCCATGCTTCTCCATCTGACGGGTGATATAGAACACCGGTTGGCCTTCTATGTTCATAGTGCCATCTCATATGAGGAGCAGAGCTCATTGATGCATACAACCTCCTTAACCTTGGTATAAGTGGTAAGTAATGCATCGCCTTCACTGGAACCTTCTTTTTATTAGCATTTGTAGCCTCCTTATAACCAGGTTGGTTACAAAACTTACAATTTTCTAACGCTGCATCATCCTTATAATATAACATGCATCCTTTCTCACAACAGTCAATCCTCTCTGATGAAAGTCCTAACTTGGACACCAATTTCTTTGCAGTATAGAAATCTTTGGGTAAGTCAATTTTATTCGGATTCAGTTCATTCATAAGCCCAATGATAGAATCCATGCCCGCTTGAGAAATAGAACTATCAAATTTGATAGTTAGTAGTCTAATTGCAACAGACAACTTGGAATGCATTGAGCCTTCATACAATGGACGACTAGCTTCCTCTAATTGTTCATAAAAGCGCTTAGCCTCATCATTTGGTTCGGATTGAGCCCCTGGGAACATCTCAAAAGCATCTCTCATCATTTCATTGAATCGAGAATTTTCAAAATTATTCTCTACTCTGGGACTACCCTCACCACCAAAAGAATTATGAAAATCATGATTCTCTCCATGAACAGTCCACACATAATAATTTTCTATAAATCCATTCTTGTAAAGATGAAGTTCAACTACATCTGGTCTCAATAACTTGACACACTTGCATTTAACACAAGGGCACCTAATTGTCCCTTCAATAAGAAAATCATTTAGCGATTTCGCCTTAGCAATAAACCCCGCAACTCCTTCTATAAATTCCTCCCTCAATCCCGCACGATTAGGATGAGTCCTATTATACATCCATCTACGATGTTCAAATTCCATCTACATCAAGAGAAAAAACTATTGAGATATTCTTCTAAAGGTTCCTACTTTGAATAATTGTAATACCTTCAACATTTTAACTATGAATGACTCTATAAATATTAAATTTCACAACAATCACTTGAGTAAAATGCCATAAATGAATGGGGACTAACACATGATTCAGTTTGAAACTATCTTTAGTAAGTGATCACTATCAAAATGCATGATGTAAGGATATATCACCACATATAAGCTCTCAAAGTTCTTAGCAGTTTTCAAGGCTTAAAAGTCAACTCAGAATCATTCCACATATTATAACATCAATACAAAATTCTTAGGAATCATTTCTCCAAACATAATCAAGAGAGAGTCAGAAAGCATAATTTGTTAACTATACACTTATATGAGCATGCTTGCTATGTTACAGATAACTTTAATTTCAAGAATGTCACTCTAGGTGGTTTAAAGCATCAACTGGAGTTAGCAAAAGACAAACACATGCATTCACTTATTGAGTTTTCATTAGAGGTCTACTGTTTCATAAGGTTTAAACAGTAACAACACATACCTTTTTACAATTAGTGTGCCTGTGTCATTAATGGTAGAAACTTTGATGAAATTAAACAACTTAGGGCAGTCATTTAAAGATAAACAGATACACCAACCAAGAGAAACAACTCATGATTAAACTCCAATAGATATTAAGTATTATAGGCTAAACACTTTAGACCTGTAACTAAATCCACCAAAGTCAGGCAAATTAGAGAAGATAACAGAGATATTAATCAGAACTGGATGATCAGTTTTTAATGTTAAGGTGAGACCTTAGGCATGGTATCTACAACCATAACAATCAGTACAAGAAGCAGGCATGATTTTACCGATCAAAGATAGGATTGCTAAACATATTAGGACCAGTAAAGCTTTGTTAGAGATTGTATGTTAACATGATAAACAGAACAAGCAGGCTATTAACAATAGGTCTTCTTATTTGTTAGCAGCAGACAGATTAGTACAAAAACAGAATATAGAAATGAAAAAAGGTACGAAAAAAGAAAATAAGTCGGCTGAAATCTGGTTGACTTCATATATACAATATCAGAAGACTATGTCTAACATAACGATAATGGTGTGCATTAATTTCAGATGATAATTAACTACTTGCCAGCTTATCACAGACAGCTTCAAACACCATTACCTATACTTAATGGGAAAAATGCAAATATAGTTATGACTATCAATCCATAACTTAAAGTAGTAAGCTTGTTGACATGATACAAAGGTATATGCTCATTATATTCTGGAGATGATTCTGTTTTATCAGAAGTAGTATTAGTGAAATCTATCAAAAGATTCTGCTGATTAATAATGCAACTACTCCTCCTCTTTCATAATAACTCTAAATTCAATGATGTAATGCGGCTGGCTTCCGCTACTTAATTAGATTCATTTCACTACAAAAATTCCTATATTTTCACAGACCAATCCCAAATAAATATTGTTAAAAAATGATTACTAAAATATTTAAAACTTGACACTCAATACGAAACACACACTAGGAATGTATTGTGATGCTTTTATTGATCAAAATCAATAAACAAAGCGAAGCAAAAGGAAAAAACCAGTTCAATTATGCCGCCCATACTATACTCCATGAGTATTAATCATCAATTCATATCTCTATTCTATCAGTTCTCTACTAAATTCAGAAGGTATACAATCTTCTGAAGAAGGTAATTTCCAATCAAAGAAACTTAAGTAGTTTTGCATTTTTGATTTGACATTAGGATTTTCTTATTACTTTTCTTTACTTTTTTTTTCCTAAATATCACATGCAATAGACATTCGCCCTACTGGGTTCACGAGAATCCGTAATCAAGCCTCTAAATTGCCCCTGCATTTCAATACTCTGCATCCTCATTACTACAGCTTACGCTGTAAAAATTAAGCCGTGAAAACAGAATCGTTATAATCATTAGTCCAAAATTAAATTTACAGATAACACAACAAGCAAAAAGAACCCTAGATAGAATGTAAACCCATGTCGGGGGAAAAATCGGCATTCCACAACTGCAACTAATAGTTACAAAAGTGCAATTAATAGTACAAAAGCAGAAACTTACATTGATGAGAAGAAAATTCACAATTAATAGTTAAAAAAGTGCAATTAATAGTTACAAAACCAATAACCTTACATTGATGAGAAGAAAACTATGCGTCGTCGTCGTCCAGTCAAAGCCACTGCAGACGCCGCTGGAAGAGAGGAGGAACGTGAGCAGTGAGAGAGAAGAGAGAAGTGTGGGAAAGGAAAAGATAATTAGAAAAATAAGGGTTTGGGCCCAAAATAACTAAGTTATCCGACTATGGTAGTCTATAAATAATGTGTGATTATGTTCCGACTACTGTAGTCGCAAATAACATAATATTTAATTAATTCTATTTTAAAAAAAATCGACTATGTTCCGACTACTGTAGTCCGAAAAAAATTAACATTTAATTAATTTTATTCAAAACATTTCGATTACTATTTCTATGGTGTGTTCTGACTAGAGTAGTCGGAAAAATATACGCGCGAAAAATTCCGCGAAGCTTCACGACACTAGTAGTCGAAAACTTAGGCGGCAAAATTCTAAAAAAATAATATAAATACAAATATAAATTTTCCGACTACAGTAGTCGGAAAATTACGACTGAAAATTTTTAGTTGGAATTGGTAGTCGGAAAAAAGCTTTTTTCTAGTAGTGGAGTTTGGATGCTAAATGATCAAAAGATGACAATTCGACACAAAAAGAAGAAATTAAAGGAGTGGGAGCTCGTCTATTCTCGTGCGTGGCACGAAGTCGGACGCGAAAAAGGAGAAAAGTTAAGGCACAAAACAGCGAAGCGAAGCAAAGGCACGGAGCGCTTCGCGAAATGGAAGAATCTCAAAAGCTGGATCCGCGTCAAAGTCCGCGTCTAGACGCGAAGGCAGACGCGGATCCGCGTCAAAGTCCGCGTCTAGATGTGAAGGCAGACGCGGATTCCAGCTCTCCCATCCGAAGTTGGATTGAAGAATTCCGCCCCTTATCAACCCTAGGTCATATAAATACATCCTAAAACACCACTTTGAAGGAGGGGGACACACTTTTGACATAATTTAGAACTAAGGAGGCAGAGGAGGACGTTTTTGAGAGGAGAACACAAGCACAGAGCCGCCGTGGAGGCCGGGTTTCATCTTTTCTTCCACCAACTTAGTAATTTTTATGTTTCTTTGTATGATTTGTTGTTTTGCTACCATGTCTATGTGGAGCTAAACTTCACGTTCTAGGGTTGTGGTTCTTTCATGACTATTGTTATTCGGATATTGATTTTGATTGCTTAGCTTATCATATTGGTTTATTTATTCAATCCTGCACTTAATTATTTGATTGCTTGATCACCAATTGAATACTATCTACGAATCTTGAATTGAACTCGAAAGTGGGAATTCTAGATTGCATATAGGATTGAGTAGAGCAAGTTCTTGAACCTGGGCATCGGGGAACGGATTCGCAATTAGGATAGACATATACCTAATTGCCTTGCTTGGTTGAAATACAGGAATTATAAATGCGTTCTTGTTGATTCTAACTCCATAGACATATAGGCGTTAGGTTAGCTTGAATAGGCGAGTAAGAACTCGACAGATTCTTATAAGCAATATTAACCCTGTCAACCAATAACCCAGATAAATTAGTGAGTCAGTTCAATTGATGAATACAATAGGAATGTTAGATAGCCCATAACCCTAGATCGTTTTCATTACATTGATAACATAAAAATCTGCTCTTCCTCTATTCAAAGTTCATTATTTATTTTTATTATTTTAATTAGTTTAGAATCAAATACTTCTAGGTTTAATTCTTATTTAGATAATTAGGATAATCTAATTTAGTTAATAGTTAATCACAAGTCCTCGTGGGATCGACATCCGACTTTTAGTCACTTTATTACTTGACGACCGCGTATACTTGCGTGTGCGTTTGGGAGCAACAAGGTTTGGCGCCGTTGCCGGGGACTTGGACATTAGCTATTTTTCTAGATTAGACTTTTAATTTTATTTTTTATTTTTTATTTTTTTGTATATACTTTTATTTTTACAAATATTTGATATTTTTCTCTTAGTGTGTTTCTAGTTCTCTCAGCATGACATCTGGGGATGAAATATACGGAGGTAAGGCTATTGATGAAGACTCTTGGTTGACAAAAGACTTTTATGTCTCGTATTTTTGGTCTTGTCATGGCCTGACTTTTTGGAGATCTGAATTTGAATATGGGAGTAAGGGTTGGTATTGGGAAGAATATTCACGATTAAGGGAATATGAGGAACGACGCTGTCTTCTAACAACATTGGTAAATGATTGGTCTAAGGAAAGAGATGAACTTGCACATAAAATTGATATTTTTGGCTTGGTTGTACATAACTTAGATGCAGATTTAAGTACAAAGGTTGATGCGTGTAACGCCCAACAAATTAATAATGAGTTGTGTGAAACTGAAAAAAAATCTTCTAGACCAAATTGAGGAGCTAAAACGAGAATACCAATCACTAGACCATATTTTTCTTGAGGATGCCAATATTGAGAAGAGTGCTCTAGAGTCATGTGAGGGAGTAGATAACATTACTTTGGGAGACTTGAGTGTGTGTAAATATGGGAATGCAAATAGTAGTAAAATTCATGAGTTAGGGCGCATTAGACCTCATTCCAATCATTTTTCCACATTGTGTTTAGATAGTAAGATAGTAATCGAGCCATCTGGGCCAATGAAGGGGTCAAAGAGTGAGGATGAGAGCGCCTATATTCTTGAACTTGTTGTGCCAAAAAGCAAAAATTACATTCCTCATCTAAAGGCCGAGAGGTGCAGAGTGAAAATTTTATTACTTGGCCTGGTTATCTTTGTAGCCCCACCAAAGGTGCACAGCCACAGACTGGATGCCATGTTAGGGGTACAATTCATAAGTTCAAGGTGGAGACAAAAATTGGTTCAAGTCGTGCCGCGACTTTAAATTAGGCGCTTGTTGGGAGGCAACCCAACTTTACTGCTTTCTTTTATTTATGTCTATTTTATTATTTTTGTAGTGTTATTTTATTTTGTAGGATTTTGAGCATAAGGAGCAAAGCCACAGGAAGTGTGCAAAAGTGAGCCATGTGGTTAGAACTTAGTGTGGGGTGCCCGCACAAAGGACTGTACCTGGGAGAAGTCTGAGTATCCGTGAGCTGCTAATGCTTCGGCCTTTGGCCTACCAGGGAGTCTCTTTTACCCTCTTGTTATTTTCAGTGTGCATTGAGGACATTGCACAATTTTAAGTGTGGGGTGAGGAGATTGTCTGGGTGATTTTATGTGCTATGTTAGCTTAGTTATAGTACTCGTTCTTAGTGTAGTAATTTTTTTAAAAAAACGAAAAAAAACGAAAAAAAAATTCGAAAAATTTAGACATTTCCCGACGATGGATTTTGTGGACAGTTTTCTTTAGGGATTAAATTCTAAATAAAAAACACAAAAATATGTCTTTTAGTTTTCTTTAGGTAGTAATAATCCCCCGTGATTTTTCTTTGTGCCTCGGTTCTTTTCCATGGGATGTAGTTTGAACCGGGTAGTAGTATTTTTTATTTTTATTTTTAGAGTAGATTAGAATTTAGGGAATAAATGGAGGAAGAATGATGAACCTAGGAGCCCTTGACTTGTTTGATAGTAGCATATTTAGGCTTTGGCATGTGTAGTATCTTCCCTATGATTTGAATTTATTGATGATGCCTTGCTTAGTTGGATAGCATGTTTTGTGGCGCCTATGTCTCATTTTCTTGACTTATGTTCACTTTGTGTTTAATGCTTAATATATCGTGGCTTTGTGAATATTTGCATTTGTTTGAGAGTCGGAATGGAATCGTCCTTAGTGAGTCATGTGCCATGTGTGAAGTGAGGTTTTATGTAGTTCATGTTATTGTGATTGAGTCTAGAACTTGCCCAGTATGTAAGTTGAAGCGAAATTTTAGGTGATGTTCGGTTTGAACAATGATTTTAGGCTTTCTTTGGTTTTTGAGCTTAATTGCTTACCACAAATAAAATTTATCCCTAGTCAATCCTTTTGAGCCTATAGACTTTTATTTGGCACCCACATAGCAAGCCTATACCCTTTTTATTCTTAATTGACATTGTTTTGATCCCTTTTCCTCTTAAAGCACTTTAATAGTGAGGTGAGCGCTAAAAGAAGTAAGAAGAAACTAAGTGTGGGGTGGCTTTTGAGTGGAACCAATAAAAGGAAGAAAGGAGCACTTGTTTTTTTTTTAAAATAATACACCACTAGCAGAAATTGAAAAAAAAAAAGAATAATCTGGAAAAAACTAATAGAGATGAATACATTGTTGTCTTGTTCTTAATAGTGGGTATGAATTAATGTAGTGCTTAAAGAAGAAGGGAGCATTTTTG